GTACCTCCGGGGGTGCGCGAGAGTCGCGCTCAACGAGGCCCCTCTCCTCAGCAAAATCGAGGATGATGCTGACGGGGTGCGTCAATGGTGTCCGAGGGTGGTCCAGGAGAATGGGCTGTGCCCAAGTCTTAGGGTTGCTCTTATAACCTCCCCCGGGCTTGGCTTGGCCTTGCCGAGGGCGGTCATCAGAGGGTCCCGAAGTCTTGGGGTGATTTGGAGGAGCCCCCGGCCCTCGGTTATGCTTGTTGTCAGCCCTCGGGGGCTGCTGGTCCGGATGCTGGTGATACTTCTCCACCTCCTCGGCCTCAGCATATCGGTCCCCCCGCTGCAAAGCCCTTATGTAGTCGCGGGGGGGTTCAATGATGAGGCTCCTTGAAAAGTTGCCGGTGCGGAGGACGGTTTGTAGGAGGGCCAGGAGGGTCCCGTCATCATCACCGTCGACCTTGTCGGCCTCCGTCCTCCAGCGCTCTAGGAAATCCCGAAGGGTCTCATCCTTCTTCTGGCGTATTGTTAGGAGGTGGGAGAAGTGCTTCCTTTTGCGACGCCTCCCGGCAAATTGTGTCAAGAATCGCTGGGCGAGTTCTTGCCATGAATCAATGCAGCCCTCGGGTAGCCTGTTGAACCATTCGTACGCCGGCCCCTCTAAGGTGGAGAGGAACCATCGACACAAATATTCGTCTGACGCCCCCACCATCATCATGATGTTCTGGTATTTACTGTAGTGTTCCTGGGGGTCCGTTTTCCCGTTGTAGGGCTGTATGTGTTGCCCTCGGTATTTCTCCGGGATCCGGGCCGCCAATACCCTTGGGGTAAATGGCGTCCGAGTCCGGAGCTGGATGACGGGTTCTCCGGAGCCCTCGGCCACCTTCTTCTGCAACTCCTCCATGTTGGCCATCATGGCCTCGTATTTGAGATCTGAATGAGGGGTGGAGGTGGTGGCGTGAGCTTTGTTGGACTCCATCTCGTCAAGCCGGCGTTGGAGGGCCGCAATAATTTCGTCCCGGGGATCCTTCGGGAGGGTCTCCGCCCCTGCGAACGAACCCGGGCCGAGTGGGCCTGGTGGATCTGGTGGCGAGCGTCATCGGCATGAAGGGGTGCCTTGCCTTTGTCCCGAGGGGGACGCTCCTCGCCTGCCCTCGAAACAGATCCCTCGCTTTCCTGGGGCCTTTGGAGTGCTTTCCCCCCGAGGCGGTCTTGGACCCCTCGGCGGTTTGGCCCTCCTCTGAGCCGGTTGAGGGCGGAAGTACGGGGCCTTTCCCTGTTGTCAATATGGCGGTCCCGGGACTGAACTTCCTGGGAGGACGTATCTTGGGCCACCACCCCTTCGTCGTTTCTCACCCGAGGGGTGGGATTTCCGAAGGGGTGTGGCAGAGGGGGAAGTATGATATTTTCCCCGATCTGAGGGTGAGCTGGAGCCAGGGTGCCGAAGGCACCCGGGTTCTGGGTGAGCGTTTGGATGAAGGCGGAGAGCGCCGATTGTACGTCGATGGTGAGAACCGGAGGGCTGACTTGGTCATCGCTCCGGTTTTTCTTCTTGGCCTCAATGCCGAGGCGGGCATCGGGGGCATTCTGTTGGATCTGAAGGCGTAGATCGACAGCCGCCTGTTCCAGCCCAGCGATGACACCGCCCTCGGGAGCCCTGTGAGAGGCTTCGGAGGCGTTGACGTCGCCGAGGGCCAGGTTCTTGTCTTCTACGTTCTTTGAGTTGGCACGTGTTGTTCTCACCATTTTGATAGAGGGCTAGTGTTTTGTGTTTGGTCGAGGGGGAGGGTTTCTTACTCGATGGTTCGACCTCTCAACGAGAGCACCAAATGATGGATAGTCTACCCGGGGGTATATATCCGAAGGGTTATTACGGGGAATAACTTAGAGAGAAGTCAGAGCAAGTAAGTAAAAGTAGAGAGAGAGTGTATTCAGTATGAATGCCGTTTTCAGCGTGGTTACAAATGAGGAAATGGGGTGCTATTTATAGTAGCAATAAATGCCGGACAGGGACACGTGTCAAGCGCTCATTGGCCGAGGGGTCACCTCAACTGGTTGGCGCTGGCAGCCGCATGTGGCCGCATTTAATGCGGCTGTTGGATGGGACGTCTGTGCAGGGTACGGCGATCTGTACGCATGTGAGGCGGATATCTTGTCGAGTGAGATGCCTTCGGCCATAGAGCAGTAGCCGAGGGCTCCTCCAACCGATGGCACCCTGGTGCCGAGGGCTCACAATGCCGAGGGCTACTGTTTTCGCCGTTTTCTCCCAGTTTCTTAATTTGCTTGAGAAACCCGTTCTGTGAGAATTTAGAGCCTTCGGCCAGGGGGCCGAAGGCACCCCTGGCGCGTGGTGCGGGCTGCTTTGTACTCTGGGCGCTGTGATTTGGGCCTGCTGGGCCTTCTGGACCTGTTGGGCCTTCGCTGGAGTAGTAGGAGTCTGTGGGCCGGGGGTTCCCGGGCCATATACTCCATCAGCGTCCATGCAATTTTTGACGCGATTGTGATCAAGTTCTATATTTTAGAATTAGAAAAATGAAAGTAGTAGCCCATCCCATCTTCTTTTATACTATCTATCTATTATTTTATATTGGAAAAATTGATCGTAATAATCCCAACTATTGGCGGTCCGCTCATAATAATCCCAACTATCGATTATTTCAGAATAATCCCAACTTTAGGGACCTTCCGCCAATAATGGTCCGACGTGACCAATTATAAATAAATTCATGTAGTTTCTAAAGAGATATAGCATGTAATCCCTATAACTAATCCCAAATTTTAATGTTTACGCTTAAATTCTATTAAAAATTCACTTGTTAGAGCAGGTAATATGCGGTCTTGGACCAATATTGGCGGACGGTCCATATAGTTGGGATTATCCAAAAATAATCAATAGTTGGGATTATTGTTAGCGGGCTGGCAATAGTTGGGATTATTATTTTCAATTTTTCCTTTTATATTTTGTAAAAGGAAATAAAAGATAGAAAAAGGAATAATAAAATATTACTCCCTCCGGTCCTAAATGAAATTCACACTTTGACTTCACACAAATTAAGGAAATAAATTTGACTTTACTGTAGAGTACACTGTTGTGACACTGTTTGACACTGTTTTGCACTGTTTTGATGTAGATAATTTGCCAAATAAGGAAGAGAGAAGAAGTGTGAAGTTTATTTTGGACCTACCCAATAAGGAAAGTGTGAATTTCATTTAGGACTGGAGGGAGTATAAATTAAAACTTCTAAAATCTTTTCGATTACTAGAAAAAGATTCACTTCTCACAAAAATTAAATTTATAGTTGATTAGCATTTATAATATCACATAAAATATTCCAATAAAACTAAATAAGTTGGTTGTACAAATGTTGTAATATTCACAATTTTATCGAATGAATCATGTAAAAAATATAAATGCAATTTGCTATTGTTATCGCCAAATATCTTTTCATACAGGTAGAGTACGAATTATAACAAATACAAATATGTCGTATAAGCTAACTTTATCATAATGAATGTATGAGAAGTGCATAAAATAAAGTGATATGTGCTATATTTGTATTTTTCATGTCTAAATTATTTATTTATATCCTAAAGATGAAGAGTGAATAAAATTACAAAGTATTTATATATACATTACAAGTAGTTCAGTGTTCGATTCGGTTTACGGTTTTTCGATTTTAAACCAAACCAAACCATTTGGTTTGAGCAAATTGCTACCAAACTGTTTACTTAAGTAAACCCAAACCAAACCAAAACACCAATTTTCGGTTCGGTTCAGTTCGGTTCGGTCAAACCAAACCATTTTGCTTAGCCCTCATAGAGTCATGGACTCATGGGTCATATGGAAACAGTCTTTCTGCAATATAGACATATAGTCATGAATAAAGATGCATACATCCGACTAGGGATAGACTGTGCCGGTTTGGACCGACCCGGTACCCGTCCCGGACCGCTACTTTGCGGTACCGCCCCAGCCCGGCCGACATGACCGAGACCAAGCTTTGGGGCCCGAACCGGGGGTAAAATGGGGCGGGCTTCGAGACGTTATTTTAGTGGACCAGCCCACCCGGTCCGGGACCGGTCCGGGCCAAAATATTTTTTTTTTTTAGTTTTTTGGCATTGGGCCGCTGCTAGGTGGGTTTGGCTGGGTGTTTTGGCGGGGTTTGGGGTGGGGGTGGGGGGTAAGAATAAATTAGAAAAAGACTAACTTAAAAAAGAAAATTGACCCAACCCAACCCAACCCGCGCCCGGCCTGGCCCGGTTCAAACTCGGGCCAGTACCAGGCCTTCAGCCTAAATTCCCAGTCCCACCCAATTAATCCCGACCCGGACCTAGTCCATGCCTACATGGCTACATCCGACTCCTCTTACCACATCGTAGGTGTGAACTTTTGTGACACTATGATAATGTAATGTTGTGTTGTTGATACTTTTATGCATCAACTCATTGACCTATAGGACGCGCATAAAACCAACAAGTTAGTTAGGTTGAAATTCTACTCTGCCATTAAATGGGTTGGATTGACCCAACCCACAAAAGGCATAAGTCACCACAGATTAGGGATGGACTCGGGCCGGGTCAACCGGACCGAAACCGGCCCGGTACTGTTACGAACCGGCCCGAACCAAGGCCCGGGTCCGGGCCGGGTGCTTTATACCCGGACCAGGATTTTTCGGGCCAAGCTCTAGGTCGCAATAAAATGAACCGGCCCAGCCAAGTTCGGGCCAAAAAAATGTTTTTCAAAATTTTTGGGAGGTAAACGGGTTGGGCTAGGTGTTTTGGACGGGTTTGGGTGGGGGATGGGGGTAGGAAGTAATTAGAAAACCAAAAAAAAATAAGGTACTCGGCCCAGGCCTGAACCGGACCCTGTAGCTACCCGGGCTGATTCCGGGTCTCAACAAACCCAAAAAAAGGCCAGGCCTTCCCAGACCGGCCCGACTCCATCCCTACCACAGATTGGGTCTGGGTGGGGTAGGTTTGCCCATTTGAGAGCACTATTCGCATTTCGCACCCCTTGTTTGTTACATCACAAACACTTTTTCCATTGAACCTTTTATAGAGCTAGAAAAGAGGCATTTTACACGAGGATGGAGTGATGGACCCAGACCTGTTCGTGTCTTTTTCAGGGCCAGCCGGTTCCAGTTCTAATTGGTTTCAGATCAATTTTTAAGCTTATACAACAACATACAAGCCTCATTCCCAAAAGAATTTGGGATTGACAGCAATTTTAAGCCTATGATAATAAATAATGTAAAAAATCATAACCAAAATTAGTTATAGCCTAATATCACTTAACCATCGCAAGCTGCTTGGACCAGTAACGGGACCAAAAGAACGGGTGCCCCGCTTTTCACCCATTCAGTCCCAGTCTTGTTCCATCCCTACTGTGCGCCATACATAGTTTGTATATTCTCTGCAAGTCTAGAACTTCTATTGCAAGTCCAAACACATACATACAGCCATATCTCACTTTCCATCAACAATTCACTCTTCCATTTTCAGGTCATGGCTAGCCACCCATCAAATGAATAACTATAATGCATTCTACTCCCTATAAGGTAAACTAAGAAACATGGGAGAAGAGTGCAAACTGTGATGTGTGATGGGCAAGACAAAGGAAGATCTAAGGGAAACAGAAACTACGTGATTCACAAAGCTACTTTCTCCTTTTGTTGAAGAATGGGAGGGTCAACATCGATGCCCATATTAGCTGCTGTGCCGGCTATAATCCTCATTGCTGACTCAATACTTGAACAGTTCAGATCTGGCAACTTTTCTTGAGCAATTGCCCTCAGCTGATCAATAGTGACTTTCCCCACTCTCACCTTCTGCGGGTCCTTGGAACCTTTTTCCGCTCCTACAAAGTTAATTAATCAAAACAATTAATTTTACTCTGCATCTTACATTTACTACTCTGGAGTATTAATCACATGTACTGCGGAGTATTATTTTGATTCGTAAGATCAAATATACAAGTCACTGTTACATTTTTTGTTCAACATTGTCTAAATATGAAGCCTTGGCGCTTAAGCGAGAGATCATGGGTTCAAGTCTTGGAAGCAACCTCTTCTTAAAATAACAAGAGAAGGCTTGCTCTGTATACATTCTTGTGGTGGGACCCTACCCCGGACCCTCACCTTGCAGGAACGCCAATGTGCACCGGGCTGCCCTTTTATTGGCTAAACATGAAATGTTACCGACTTACCTCCATCCCAAAATAACAGTTACAAAACTTTTTGACATGCAGATTAAGACAGTGGGATAAAAAACATAAAATACCCTCTACTTTTATAGAAGCAGAGAAAAAGCAAGTTGAAATGATAAGTTGATCATTTCATTTCATATCATTTTCATTTACCCCAGTGCCGCAAAGGCTCCCACCTACGGTGGGGTAAGGGGGGGTCGGAATGATAAGTTGATGATTTAAGTTAAAGGAAGGATGAAGTGTTAATAATATGTAGGATCATTTGCAAAAGAGGAAATGCAACTTTATTTTGGGATAACCCAAAAAGGAAATACGTGACAATTACGTAGTATTTTGGGACAGAGGGAATAACAAAAAAAACTTATAAACATACCAGATACTGAGTTACTCTCATTAAAGTTGGGATATTTAAGAATAAAATCCCAAGTACTTAAATACTTCATCCGTTCCTTTTTAATTGCAACAGTCAATGTTTCACGTTTGCCAACGCACAAGTTTGACCATTAATATCTTTCATTCCCTATTAGTAAAAAATTTTAAAAAAATCATATTTTGAAAATTTAGAATGAAAAGAATTTAACAATATTTTTTAAACATTTAATTTATAATACATTAATTAATAAAATATAGTCAAAGTAGAATATGTGAATAGTGCAAAAAGTCCAATGTTGCAATTAAAAGAGAACGAAGGTAGTATGTAAATGCATTTCATATAGAATTCAAGATTATATTGGGGTTAATTGATTGATCGCTATGACACTGAAGTCAAACCACACTAAAAGATTAAACATCACCTACGAGCTAGTTAGTTAAATGACTTGAATCTGGTGTCTTATTAACTCATCATTTCCCATTTACTTGTCCCATTTGAGACTTTAATAGTCAGAAACAAGAAAGCATGCTAGCTATAATAACCCAATCCAGAAGTTGCATCTAGTCTTCACCTTCAATAACTAATCACGTTAACATATGATTAGTTCTCATATGTACCTATCAGGCTATCAAGTGTGTGCAATCAAGTGTTTGCAGATTATTTGACAGTAACAGAAAAAGTATGCTTCATGAATCACCAAGAGATGTGTTTTGGATATAGTCCGAATATTCAGCAACAATTTCCTACAAATGGTATTGACTACCGAATAACCTTTTACATCTGCCAGAATAAGTGATCTTTGACTTGAAGCCGTAAAGAATTCAGGATTTGGGTTGGGATAATTCAAGAAGGCCATAAGGCACTCCGGCCAAACCATACAAAAGTTTGAATATAAACTTTTAGCTAGTTCAACCCAAGTTCTTATTAACCCACAATTCTCTGTATAATAGTTCGACTTAGGATTCCACACAAGCCAGCTTAAAGCATATTTTTCCTCTCTTACTGAGCTATCTAAACCGTATTTTAGAGATGCTTGAATCTCAGGGGTTGGGCCGAAAGAAACAGATATACACTACAACCATTGCTGGTTTACACAATGTCTCCATTTAGTGATGTAGATTACATTTCCTACCAATTTTTCCAAAACATGTATATACAAAGTAAACCAAATTTTTTAACAGAGGATACTTTACTCCTTGCAATCTTAAGAAAAGGATCCTCAAATCTCATAATTACAAGAAAACTAATTATCTGACACAATTATTGTGTCTAGGTTTTTATACAGCAAATTCATAGCAAGAAGCTGGTATAGAGTGTACACAGTAAATGAACAGATTTGGGTACTAAACGTTTGTAGCTAAACAGTCATCCCTCTCAACCATAGAGGGATAGAGGTAGATCAGACACAACATACTTAGCGCACTTTGTTGCAATTAAGCTGAGTTCAGCAATAAAAAATTTCAACAAACCCCGACTTGAGGAATTATTTAAAGAAAATAGAGAAAGCTGAAAAATTGAAAAGAATTTTAATGGAAAGCCAAAACCTACCAGCTGCCTTTAGTAGCAACACTGAAGCAGGTGGTGTCTTCAAGACAAAGGTGAAGCTTTTATCCTGCATCATTGTCAACCAGCAGTGACATAAACATATTACCTAATGAACAAACTTCACCATAGGTGTTATAGTCAAACACGAACATAAGAATTGCAGAATCAGAACTAAAACATAAACAAAAGCTTAAGTTTAACATTTCTCCTATGAATGAAAAATGACGATCAAGATAGAGCAAATGGAAATTAGGGAACTAACATCAAAGATGGTGACTTCAACAGGAATGATATAACCGGCTTTATCTGCAGTCCTGGCATTATAATCCTTACAAAAAGCCATGATGTTGACACCTTTCGCACCCAATGCGGGTCCTACAGGTGGAGCCGGCGTCGCCTTCCCTGCCTCCAGAGCCAGCTTTACCACGGCAGTGACTGTAAGTTCATCTCAAGTCAATATGACAATATTTCCCAATCAGGGGGGCGCGGGGGGGGGGGGGGGGGGGGGGGGGGGGGGGCATTCACAATATGAAAATAAATATACCACGGCCAGCAATACAAGTTGTCACCTTTCTTGGCTTTTCCGCCGGATGGCTTAGGAGGAGCCATGGCGAATACAGTGAGAGGCCTGCGAGAGGAAATGAGAGACACGGGCTTACTGCGATTGTGGAGGAAATGGAGAGGGATGCCTGGGTTTGAAGAGAGATTGAAATAAGGAGGAAAAGATGAGAGTTTTATCCCATTTCCTTGGAGATGGCTTGTTGACGACAATGAAGCTGCCATTACTGCCTTCAATTTTTAGCTCGATCGAGAAGTGGATAAAAGGCCAACACCCTGACCTTTTTCTTCTGGCTCCTGCAAGTGGCTAGGGAAGAGCGACACCGTTTAATTTGGAGGACTTGTCTCAAAGGTTGAGTAAGGATGTGTTCAGTATCATATCCATCAGACTAGATCAAACTAGATTTTCCTATTTATAAAATACACAGAGAACAGACATTACTAGATCAGACCAATTCAAACCAAATCAGACCAGACTTGAACAAATCAGATCATACCATACTACCAAATTTCAATCCAAGTAAAAACATTCTAAAAGGTTTTAAAATGAATAATGCTCCGCCTAAACCAGAAAAAGTAATGGCCAACACCCTGAACACTTTCTTATGGTTTAATTACACTTTTTGCATACCATCTTTGTCAACACAAAAAAAGTTATCTTTATACAGGATACTCGTCTGGAAATACAGAAGTTATCTATATACAGACAATATTGTATGTGATGGTACCAAGGACCCTGACCATGACCCAATTATGTAGTCCAGAACGGGATCAGCCTTTAATGGGATTAGCCTGATTAACACGATTAGCCCATAAACGGGATCAAGACCTGAACGGGATTCATATTGAATAAACCGCTAGACCCGATTAGGGATCAGGCCCACGATAGGAACCCACAGCCAGGCTGGGCTGGACAGCAGACCTCGAGCCTAGGCGGAGTTCCAGTGAGGTTGGGATATTCCTAGGGTTTACGTGGCGAGTTATCATTTGAGTATGGCTATTGGGTAGCAAGCATAACTCGACAGGAAACGTAGACTTGAAGGAGATAATCATTTCACAATGGCCAAGACGTTACAGGAGTTCTATTCGAACTAATGTATAATTAATACTCCATCTGTCCCATATTTAACTCCGGTTTTGACCGGGCACGGGTTTTAAGATAGTGGGATTTGTGTGGTGGAGAGTTATGCAGAGGAAAGAGAAATGTGTAAGAATGGTTGTGAACCACATATTCTTTACCAAAAAGGAAAAAAGGAGATAAATTTGGGACGGGCCGAAAAGGAAAGAATGAAGATAATTTCGGGACGGAGGGAGTAGCATTTAATGTAGTAGTTTCCTTCTAGAATACTAACTTCTAGAGTCTATAAATACTTCCTGTAAATACCCTATGAGGGGATAGAGAAATCATTCATCCAAATAATAATAATACTGCCTTACGCTACCATATCTTGATATCTTTAGTAGATTTAGCTCTCGTGGTTGGATTAAACTCTGTCAGTATGTATAGACATACAAAATGTGTGAATGGTTTACACAAAAAAGAGTATATCTGGCATTTTTGTTTTGCAATAGAGATTTTGACACGAATAGAGGTTTTAAAATAGTTTCAATATTCCAACTCAAATCTCATCCAAGTTTTATACTTGTTTATATTACATTAAAAATTCCACTAGTACATGGATTGTGTAGCATGGACCCGATCTTGATTCCATACCAAGACCGGAAGTCCGGAACCGCCAAATTTTGAATCGGAAAATAAAATTTTGATCCATGAACCGGACCTGTGAGAAAGAGGTTCTGATCCCGCCTCCATTTTTAGGTTGAGATAAGGATTGAACCGGTTTCAATTATTATTTTGTAGTTATTTTGCTACTAAACCATTGCAAAGCATTTCATAACAGTTAAAAGTCCTTAAAGTATAAAAAAGGCGTTGATGGGGTGAGAAAGGTTTGACAATGTTCTGAAAAAATAAAAACCCCAAGACCGATCCGAAACTGAGACTGGTTGGGGACCGGAAGCATCGAGGACCAAAAATAAAAGTCCCAATCTCGATCCTCCATATATTTTTTCAAAAACTGTTAGGTCCAGGACCGGAACTAGCAAGAGTCCATACCAGTTTTGTGATGTTTAATTTTACAACGATCGTGGGTAGACTTTTAGGGTTGAATCTAATAGAATTCTTATAGGCTTAGTATTGTACTTTACATTAAACTCTCTCTAATATAAATATATCTGCCAGGGCTCCTCAGGGAGTAACCTTTTCCATTATTTCACATGGTATCAAGAGCACAGTAAAAACCCTAATAATTTTTTTTTCGATCCTCTCTCTACTGCCGCCGCCAGATATGACCTCTCCCTCCACGCAGGCTTCTTCCGCAGCGTTGTCCATGGCAGTTTCCTCCGCCGCTGGTCTATCTTCTTCTTCCGTCGCGGCAGGATTTTCCCTATCGCCCGGCGCTCCACTTCGGTACGGAACGCAGCCGGCCACCAACTCCGAAACAGGTGTGACGTTTTCATCCACCTTCGCTTCTCCCAGCCGGACCGCCGTGCCTCACTCTCTTTTTCCGACCATGCCTCCGGCGTTTCCTTGGCCGGCACCTACTCCAGTACAGCGGATGTCTTTAGATCCGCCACCCCTCTCGGCCGGGCCTTTTTCTGGACCCACATTTGTTGGATCACCGGGTGTCTCCTCTACCTTACCCCCTCTTCGGACCACCGTGGGCAGTGCAGCCGGTTCCCCCTTGACAGAGCTTGTACACAGCATCTCTCATGTCGCTACTAATGTCACCAATATTGTTACCACAAAGCTCCTAGCAGTGGAAGACTATACTACTTGGCATACTCAGTTTGAGTCCTTTCTTGTCTCACAAGGTCTTCTTGGCATGGTTGATGGCTCCATTCAGGTACCCCCTGCTTATTCCATAGATGCTCTTAACCGTCAAACTCACAATCCCGAATTTTCTACTTGGTTAAGAATTGATCAAACCATCCGTTCATGGTTATTTGCAACCCTATCTAGGGATGTTCTTATCGATGTACGTGATTTAAAACATTCATATGAAATTTGGGAGCGGTTGGAGTCTCGGTTTATGTCTGCTAGTTTAGCGAGATCTATGGAATTAAAGCGTTTATTTAATCAAATTAAAAAGAAACCTGATCAGTCCATGGATAATTATTTGCGAGAAATTAAAACATTAGCTGATGATCTTGCCACAATCAATTGTCCTGTGCCTCAGCGTGAAATTTTAAAAACTACTATTATGGGTCTAGGACCTGAGTATGAATCTTTATACTAATGCACCGGATCCCATCAGAACTCCGAAGTTAAGCGTGCTTGGGCGAGAGTAGTACTAGGATGGGTGACCCCCTGGGAAGTCCTCATGAAACCTAACATGTCGGCTAACATAGACTCGACCTGTGAAAGGATCCAAACAACGATAGCCTTTATAACCGGATGCATAGCCAACATCAACCGACACTGTCTCACCTGAAACCACCTCACCTACGTCCACTACGGTAGTTAATCACCATCCCATGCAAACCCGTGCTAAGTCAGGAATTTTTAAGCCTAAAACCATTTTTAATTTAAGTACAGTTACTGTCAATGCAGATCCTACCTGTTTTACTGAGGCAAATAAACAATTAAAATGGCGTGAGGCAATGGCTGATGAATTTAATGCACTCATTAATAATAATACGTGGGACTTGGTGCCCTTTGATAACTCTAAAAATATTGTTGGTTGTAAGTGGATTTATAAAACTAAATATCATTCTGATGGATCTTTAGAACGCCATAAAGCTCGATTAGTTGCACAGGGTTTTAATCAGCAGGCAGGTATTGATTTCTCTGAAACTTTTAGTCCTGTCGTTAAACCCACCACTGTTCGTATTGTACTTACTCTATCTATTTCTTTCGGTGGGGGTATACGACAACTTGATGTTAAAAATGCCTTCTTACATGGGAATCTGACAGAAGAAGTTTATATGCGGCAGCCTCGTGGTTTTATTCACCCTCACTTTCCTAATCATATTTGTCGTCTGCGGAAGGCCATTTATGGCCTTAAGCAAGCTCCACGAGCCTGGTTTCATAGATTTAGTAGCTTTCTTCTACAGCATAATTTTTCCTGTAGCAAATCCGACAATTCTTTGTTCATATACCGCCAGAATAATACTATTATCTATTTATTACTATATATGTGGATGATATTATTATTACTGGCAATTCTGATTTCTCTGTTACCCAATTTATTTCAATTATATCTAAACATTTTGCTATGAAAGACTTGGGTAATCTCCATTATTTCCTGGGTGTTGAGGCCATTCGTTCAGCTAAAGGTTTGTTTCTCTCTCAACATAAATATGTTACTGACCTTCTAGCTCGTTTTCACCTTCATACTGTCAAACCTGTTCGCACCCCGTTAGCTTCCCGTACCACTCTGTCTCTTTCTGATGGTGAGCTACTATCTGATTCTACTGAGTATCGCAGCATGGTTGGTGCATTACAATATTTAACTTTGACACGGCCAGATATTACTTATGCAGTCCACTTAGTGTCTCAGTTCATGCATGCTCCTCGTACCACTCATATTTTTGCAGTCAAAAGAATTTTCAGATATTTGCAGGGAACACGAGATCATGGACTTTGGCTTCAGCAGTCTAATCGGCCAACCTGTATAGTTGCTTACTCCGATGCAGATTGGGCAGGTTGTCCTGATAGTTCTCGGTCTACCACAGGTTTTGCTGTATTTTTGGGCCCTAATTTGGTTTCCTGGAAGGCTAAGAAGCAGCCCACTGTGTCCAAGTCCTCCACAGAAGCGGAATATCGTGCCATTGCTTACACAGTACAAGACACACTACATATCCGTTCAGTCCTGTTCGAACTTGGATGGCCTATCTCCGAGCCGGTACATTTATTATGTGACAATATATCTGCTTCTTACTTGACTGCAAATCCAGTTCACCATGCTCGAAGTAAACATATTCAGATTGATTATCATTTTGTTCGCGAACGGGTTGCTCATGGAGATCTGATTGTTCAACATGTTCCTACTCATCTACAGCTGGCAGATATTTTTACTAAAATTCTATCTAGTCAACGTTTTCATTTTTTGAAAGACAACCTGTGCGTTGTATCTCCCGCAGAGTTTGAGGGGGTGTAATAGAATTCTTATAGACTTAGTATTGTACTTTACATTAAACTCTCTCTAATATAAATATATCTGTCAGGGCTCCTCAGGGAGTAACCTTTTCCATTATTTCACAGAATCAATCATCAAAGCTAAGATTTGTTCAATTTTGGACTACTCAGTTCTGAGCTATCTTTTCTATGAAATACTAATTATAATTTTTTTGAAAGAAAAACGGGAGAACTATCAAATAAGCCCTCGAACTTTCATAAAAAGTGCAAATAAGCCCTTTTATAGGAGGTTATGTCTGGTTGTTGCCATTTTGGACTGTTTCCGGTGGAATTTTTTGATGAAATATTTTGACTCTCTTCTTCATTAAGTCTAGTTTATTCATACCAAATTTCAGGTAAAAATTCAATCGGGAAGGCGGTCAAATGAATTTTTGAAGATAATTGTGCAATTAGACAGCGCAATATATTTCATAAAATCATTTGACTGCCTTCTAGATTGAAGTTTTACACGAAATTTAGTATGAGTAAACTAGACTTAATTAAGACGATGCTCAAAAAATTCCATCAAAAATTCCACCGGAAACTGCCCCAAATGGCGACAGCCGGACAAAGCCTCCTATAAAAAGCCTTATTTGCACTTTTTATGAAAGTTCGAGGGCTTATTTGATAGTTCTCCCAAAGAAAAACACTTATTTATTAATGATAATGGGTGTCATCAGAGACAAAGCAATCCAATTGCTCAGAGATACCCTGGGGTGAGACATAGAACTCATCAACCCCTGATAACCTCGCATTATGGTAGGTTAATCTAACATCATCGATGTACTCACTACTAGAATCAAATCTCCTGGTTTTCCAGCCTTCAACAAGGGAGAAGAGGTTCCATCAGCCACCTCCAAAGACATCATTCTGATTTTACCAGCCATCAGGAAGGGAGAAGAGGTTTGCCCAGCCACCTCTGACAAGAACTAATGGAATTCTAGGCGATGTTGATTCAATAGCACCGCCGCAAAGCCATTTTCTGACCCAGTTCTATCTACCTTCATACCAACTTCAACTTCCACCAGATTATGAAAATCCACTGCCCTACGTTTCTTAGATTCCCCTTCATCAAGGACTCTGGCTTGGTTGTGCTCTTCTTCTCTCTCCCATTTTTCCTTTTCCTTTCGAAATCTACCCCTAGACCAAATAGCATCCCACCTCTGAAGCCTTCTCTTGAATTTCTATTTGTTGCCCCTATTTTTTACTGTCCTCCCTAGTATTTTTTCAGCTCACGCCCTGCACACATAATTAACCACTTATTCCTCGGTGAGCTCTTCCCCGTCACAAATTTGCCCTCATCCAGGGGCCATAAGACTTTTCACCCACCCATGACCCTGCACTTATGTTTGATGGACAATATCTATCAATGTGGCCTAAAACTTCACATATAAAACGAAGATTTGGAAGTTTCTCATATTTGAAATACGCCCAAAACCAGGTATCCCCCTCTTCCCTCACATGTGTTCATTTTAGTGTGTTCTTTATATCTAGAATACCACGGATACGGACATACTCCTTACTATCGTTGTTCATAGTTGTTTCATTAGGGTTGGACTCGGGCCGGGCCAACCGGCCCGGAACCGGACCGGCCCGCTACTGTGCGGGCCCGGACCGGCCCGCTACTGTGCGGGCCCGGACCGGCCCGCTACTGTGCGGGCCCGGACCGGCCCGCTACTGTGCGGGCCCGGACCGGCCCGGTGAATCGGTTGGTTGTTCGGGCTCGGGCCTTTCAAAAGGTGAACCGGCCCGGTCGATTCGGGCCCGGTCGGGCCAATTTTTTTTTTTTTTGATTTTTTTTAAGTTTTTGGGTTGGGCTGGGTATTTTGGGCCATTTGAGGTGGCTAGGGTTGGTTTGGGGGTGATGGGGAGGGTTGGGGGTTAACTAGGAAAAGCCAAAAAAAAAATTAGAACCGAGGCCCGACCCGGCCCGGACCCGGGGGTTACTCGGGCTGGTTCCGAGCCTCCCCTTCATGAACCGAGGCCCGGTCGGGCCCAGGCCAGAACCGGGCCCGAACCGGAACCGGTCCATCCCTATGTTTCATCAATCTTTATCAACTTCCCAGCTAGGGATGGACTCGATTCGGGCCTTGAACCGGTCGGGCCTCGGTTCAAGGTATGGGAGGCCCGGAACCGGCTCGGGTAACCCCCGGGCCGGGCCGGGCCTCGATTCTATTTTTTTTGGCTTTTAATAGTTAACCCCCAACCCTCCCCCTCACCCCCAAACCAACCCTAACCACGTCAAATGGCCCAAAATACCCAGCCCAACCCAAAAACTTAAAAAAAATTCAAAAAAAATTAAAAAAAAATTTGGCCCGGCCCGAGCCCGAACCGGCCGGGCCGGTTCACCTTTTGAAGGGCCCGAGCCCGAACCGAGATCCACCGAGCCGGGTGGCCCGAACCGGCCAACCAACCGATTCACCGGGCCGGTCCGGTTCTGGGCCGGTCCGGTTCTGGGCCGGTTGGCCCGGCCCGAGTCCACCCCTATTCCCAGCTAGGGATGGACTCGGGCCGGGTGGCCCGACCCGAGACCGGCACTGTTCCGGCCCGGCCCGACCCGGTGGCCCGGTCAGTGACCGGTCCGGGTAGGCCCGGCCCATGGGTTTTCCGGTCCGGGCTCGGGTCACCCAAAACAAGGCCCGACCCGGCCGGGCCCGGGCCCGGTTCGGGCCAAAAAATATTTTATTTTTTTTCAATTTTTTTTAACTTTTCGGGTTGGCCTGGGTATTTTGGGCCATTTGGGGTGGTTTGGGGGGTTGGGGGTGGGAGGGGGGTTAATTAGGAAGAGGAAAACAAAAAAAAATATAATGGGCCTTGCCCGGCCCGGACCCGGTGGTTACCCGGGCCGGTCCCGGGTCCACCATTTCTGACCCGCCAGCCCGCCCGGGCCTAGGCCCGACCCAGACGTGGCCCGGACCCAAGTCCAACCCTATTCCCAGCCTTCCCTAGATATCAACCAATACTAATTAGAGAAAAGGATCAAATAAGGCATTCTACTATTATGAAATAGTCACATAAGATCATGTACTCAATAAAGTGTCATATAAGTACCTCTACTTGTATAAAGCAATCAAATGAATCCTAACGACTTATTTAACACCTAATCCCAATTTTTGCTTACATGTCGACTTTTTTGACTAGTATTTCAACCAATCTTAGTTAAATATTCAACATATGCCGTATAATATATTCTAAAAAGATGGTCAGAAGTACGTTGAAATCGGGATTAAGAGGTGTTAAATAGGTCATTAGGTTTCATTTGATTGCTTTTTACAAGTAGATGTACTTATAAGACACTTTATTGAGTACATGACCTTATGTAACTATTTCATAATAGTAGAAGGCCTTATTTTACCCTTTTCTCATACTAATTATGATTATTGTGATATCAAATAAGCGATTTCCATTACAAACGACTCATCTGTACATTTTCTATATACACAACTATTAATATGTAAAATCTGTCAAGAATGAAATTAATAGATATCTCACGCATGCAATCAACCTATCTTTAGATTGATCGATCGTCAGAACAAATACATAGTTAATTGCCACAAAAGGTACACAAATTTGATTTTTTTCAAACCCTCAAAATGGAGTTGCGTAGAATTTGGCTGGATGATGCGTAAAATTGCACGGCCTAGTTATTGACAGGTCAACAGTGCTGCAGCAACTCCTTTCAAAGATTCACTGGCTTTGATCATATCAGATTCTGAGTGACCAGCAGAGACAAACAACCTAATTCCCACTGGTAAGTTGCATTTGTCCAGCGTTGATCTCTTAGTGGTCGCAACAAAAACTGAATCTTCCTTCAGCACCTGTAATGACAATTTATGTATCACATGACATTAGTTCTAAGAACAATGTGTGGGCACCAAACTCGGCTCTAGTGCCAATGTGGGATCAGGTATGATTCATGCTCAAAAAAAACATTGTAGATAGCCCAGGGAAGTTCATTGCCCTGGAGGGAGACACTAGATGAGGATACATAAAACATAATATTTGATAAACAATAGAGCATTAGCGTCTAGAAACAAAAGGCACACACATACACGTGCACACATCTATACATATGACATACATGTGTGTGCGCTTGCATGTTTCCTAGATTGGATATCAAGAACAGTACTTACTCTATCAGCAATATCCTCTAGCACTTGTAGGTCACTCTTCAAAGAACCAGTTGACTTCTTTAGTTTGAGGAATACAATTGGAGAAAGCGGATCACTCACTAAATCTAGACCTTTTATATCTGATAAACCTGCAGGCATCCAAGAAATCATTCTTGCACTTAATTCTTGGAGCAGGTCGAAGGACAGTACAAGATAGTTTTAAAACATACAGACCCGCGAGGATAGTTTTGATATTTTCCCTTAGTTTGGTAATGAGATCGGGATTTTCTTCCAGGATATCGATGGCCGTGATTGCAGCACTTGCTAGATATGGTGGCAAAGAAGCAGAAAAGACATAACCAGAACTACTGAGTCGCTGCCAGAAGTAGCAAAATATTTAGATATAGATACATATACATTAAACTTATATGGTCTGATTGGGTGATCATCATACCTGGTGATCAATGACTCTATTGCTACCCGTGCAAAATCCTCCTTCAGTGGCTAATGCATGTCCCATTGCAGCTGTTATGATGTCAATCTTTTCAACCTGTGAATGGATGTCATCATCCAATATAAGTACACAGATTTAATGACTAAGTTTAAGAAAAGTATGTCATTACGTACTGGTACTCCAAAGTGTTCAGTAAGACCTCTCCCTGAACTGCCAAGAACACCAAAAGAATTGCTCTCATCCAGTAAAACACGGAACTTAAATTCTTCTTTAAGTTTTATGATTGCATCTAATGGAGCAATTTGACCAGAATTCTGCAGGTAGCGCTAAATATGGTCAACAGGCATGAAGGTAATATTTGCAGTGGAAAGTAAGTACAATGCAAATGAATGCAGAAGTTAAAATTAAAATCATGTAAAATGGAACTCTCTGAGGCCTCATTGGGGGGAGAATGCTCTAAGTGGTGCCGAAGTGATTTTATAATCAAATTTTAAATTTGCTATAACCACTGTGTACCTGATATACTGCTTCCACAACAATATAGCGTCTGAGTTTCTTAGCTCGCTTATTCTCTTGAATAACTTTCTCCAGCGTACTCCTTAATGAATCCATATTGTTGTGCTTAAAATATATAACTGTACTCCTAGACAGCTGAAGCCCATTTTGTATTCCCCAGTGAACTCCTTCATCCCTGCAAGAGCATAGACCACTGGTGGTATTATTACTAGGGCTAACATGGATTTCATGCTTAAAGTCCTTGTCATTTCACGTTGAGCTAATCATATGAATCCCCTCAGCCTATTGCAACTGCCTTGTCTAATCCCAGGACTTCTTTTTGTACCGCACAACCCTCAAAGTTTTTATTTCAAAATTCAAACACTATGTCCTCTCTACCTTCTCTCATCAATTAGCCCCATCAATTCCTTAAAAAAAGTTAATCTTGTGTCAGCCACCTGTCTTTTACAGCGTGGAAATTTTAGTATCCAAATCATATCCAACTAATTCAAAACAAAATCAGGCCTTCAACTCATGCTCCGAAAGTAAACATGGTACAGATCAACTACATTCTTCCCCACATTCTAATCAAGTTAGGGCAGAATAAGACTCATCACATGAATAGTTAGGGGTGAATTACTTTTTACATTGAAGTTGCATATTCCGAACTACAATAGGGATAATATCATCATTAAATCCCTAAATATTACCCAGATGGAAAACCTAAATGAGAAATCAGTACTGTCTTAAGGCAGAAACATAGACATAAACTCCTTGCATTTCACCCTCACCACAAACCTGCAACTAAGACCTTCAATGCACAATATTTATATGTATCTGTATATGTATATGTACCTACTGACAACTGCAATTGTTAAAAGGGGATGCAGCATGACACAAAAAAAATGGGGATCAAGTTGTACAAAATGAATTACAGGGCGATTGGGTAAGAAAATCAAAATAGCCAAAGGGCTCAAGGGAAAGTCGTTGAAAGAACATTGATATAGAACTAGATATTTTACATACACTGAAAAAAGGGTACTATTGTCTGAATAAATAGAAAGAAAGACCATAAGGTAATCTCCCGCCCCCACTCATTTCAATAACAAAAAGCCAATTAATGAAAAACATAAGTTACTGTTGGCAACATGAGATCAACACAGTTGGAGCAACTTTTCAGATCAAAAGATGAAACTGTGCTAGTATATAAAAAGTATAAAAATGAATAGTATTGAATCCAAATCTTGTGTACTATATGGATAATAAAGAAAAGATGACCCCGCAGTTTGCCCTACTGTAGTATTCCAAACAGTACATGATGTACACATGTTACTTCAAAAACTTTCACTCCATTAAAGTAATGGTTCCTCTAGAAAAGATACACTGAAAGCTCAGATAAAAATGAAGTACAAGTACAAGCACAAGTATACTCACACAACAATCACATCTCCTTTTTTGCAGAATGCTGGAATTGCACTGAACATTGTAGAAAGTCCATAAGAGTAGAGTATAGAATCAGGTGTCCCTATAAACTTTGCTATTCTGGCTTCACAATCTAGGTGAACATCTGGATAAATGAAGAATATAAGATGGGTCTTACAATCAAACCATGAAGTCGGAATAGCAATGTACAAGTTAACGAGTAACTGTTATATGCAGCTCCACCGTGTATTCGGTATCTTACCAATTGTTCCATAAAACCCACGAGGACCGCAAGACCCAACACCATACTTTTCCAGTGCTCTAGTGCATGTTTCCTGTACCAAAACACAGGTGTGAATGCTGTTAACTCAACTAAAGGTAATAAAAGAAGTAAAGATCAAAATGTTAAAAAAGTTTTCTTACAAGTATCTTTTCATGTCCAACAAAACCAAGGTAATTTGCTGAAGTGAAGTTTACAACTTCTTTGCCATCAATTATAGCATGAGGTCCTGCAGCACTGTTCCAACACAACTTTGAAGGAATGCACCAGAAGAAAATCAACCTCTAAAGGGAGTTTTGCCACTTTTAGTCCTCCAACTACTCTGCCAATGACACTTTTGAAATTCTACTTTCTTCCTTTTCACTTTTAATCCTTCAACTGTTATGAAAGATTCTTTTGTACTCATTTTTAAATTTTCCACCATCCCTTGATTATTGTGGAAGTAGCACTTTTAATCCTCCAACTATCACAATGAAGCTTTTGATCCTTCAGCTATTGTGAAGATATTCAAACACGACTACCAAACATGTCATTAACACAATAGTCGGAGGCCTAAAAGTGGCAAAAACTCTTTTATGGACACATCATAACTTAAATGTTAAAAGAAAATACACTTTTAAACACACTTAGTAAGTAAGAAAGGGTGAATTGAAAAGAGCAATGCAGAAGTAAAAAATGTGGCATGTCTGCTAGACTGAATACATATATATTCTTCAAAAACTCTATGCTTATCCCTATTCACGATAGCAAAAATATAAAAGGAGTAGCTTGAATATCTCTTCTAAATCTAATAACAAGATGAATCAAATAAAGAGGTGAGAGTTTCCACCTTTCCAAGACTTGAGGTTCATGTGTCATCTCAGCTGTGATTGTAGGAATAAGAGGGTCTGGGGTCCATTCTTCGCATAGCTCATCAATTTCCTAAAAACAAGAGCAAAAACATTAATCAAATTGCATGATACACAGATGTAATGTGGTAATGAGCTGTGAACGAGATAGACATACTTGGAACCGTAAAATGTTCATTCGGGCTGAATATAATAGTTATTAATATATGTTTAGCTACTACGGTGCTATTGAGGATATATGTGAATTAGTAAATGTGTCCTTAAAACAACTTCAACTTCAAGTTGAGTCTGGTTTGGTCCAGTCTGCTTAAGTCTAATCTAGTCTATTAAGTCTGATATGATCTCGTAAATGTCTAGTGTATATGTATCTTACTATTGTTTAAGAACTTTAAGTGTGGTGTGATCTGGTCTAACAGTTTAGGTCTAGTTTGGTCTGCGACTGAAACAAGTCCAATAAAAAACATCTGAAGATGGAACCAAAATTTGCAATTTTGTAAATTGTAATGAAGTACTTCCAAATTCTAATGAATAAAAAATAGGCAGCCCGGTGTACATTGGTGTCCCCGCAAGGCAAGGATATGAGGAAGGGTCCCACCACAAGGGTGTATAAGGAGCAAGTCTTCCCTTGTAATTTTTACAACATGCCGCTCCCAAGACTTGAACCTGTGATATCTTGGTCACATAGCAACACCGTAACAGGTGAGCCAAGGCTCCCCACAAATTCTAATGAATGAAAGTGGAAGTTTTAGTCTGGGTTTGCAATGCTAAAAGCAGTAAAATGTATTCTGCCAAGTTAATCTAACATAACAAACGATGCAAAACTTATGTTCAGCCAAGAACAATAATGATGGATCCACACTAAATGGAATTCTAGGACTCCTTATATGTTACATTCTATTATTCTGGAACAAACCTTCTTTGTCAATGGCCTTTTGGGTGGCTTATAACTCTTCTGGGAGAGAAGAAATAAGATGACCACCAGAAGAAGTCCCTCCATAAAAAGATGCCCTACAATCAAAATTATGGAATTGATATTGCATAGCAAACATCATGGTATGAAGAATAAAAAACTCTTTGAGACATATATAAAGAAACAAATACCCCCAACAGGCACTCCGAAAAAAACAGCTCCTGAAAAAGGAGCCTCAAATGTTGATTCCACCCAATCAGATGCAAGTTTCAATCTATCCCTGAAAAGTGACATGGTTGTATCCATTACCATGCCGTACACTCTTTCAACTTTTGAGCCTTAGGAGAAATGAGCTTGTTCCATAAAATCACCTATCTCATTCTTCTACTCTGTCATATTCAACAGAGATGCATTAGATTCACAACATTTTATAGTTTGCACTTTGCAGTTAAAAACTGAAACAAGAGATAAAACAAAATGATAATATGCAACATAAAACCATAGATGTACAACAGCTGTCAGATAAGTCCTCATGCTTTGTTAAATAACTTCCTCATCCCCGATAAAGCTCATGTTTAATCATTTTGTATTCCACATGAAGTCATGAACTGGTACAAGAAGTTGCCTATTAATTAATGAAGTCAATCAAATCTTGCACAAGCTTATATAGAAGGTCTCTGAAGAGTAATGGCGTAAAGAACTCATATTTGGTTGACCCGGAAATGTCTGTTGGGGGGTTTATAGCAAAAACTTCTCCTACATACAAAAGAAGTAGTAAAAGGGTACTAAGTTACCACCCAAAAACACGGGTTTAATTAATTTCACTTTTGGTCCCACCATTAATAGGTAATCCCTACATTTGGTCCCAGGCATTCAATTCTCCACTTTTGATCCTAGGACTATACCTTTGTTATACTTTATAGTCATTCTGCCCATTTGTCAGGTCACCTCATACAATTTTCTGTATGTTCTCAACGGAAAGTAGTAGGAAGGACCATGAGTGACAAAAAAATATACTCGTCGGACTAAAATTGGAGATATAAATATTAAGGGATTAACCTCCAAAAGTAGTCACGTTATAATGGTTCTGACATCAAAAGTGGAAGTAGTACTCCCTCTGTCCCATTTTACTTGTATTACTTTCTTTTTTGGGTTGTCCCAAAATAAGTGTCACATTTCCTTTTTTGGAAAGAAATATGTGATCTGAAGCATTACACTTTATTATAATCAAATCTCAACCTTAACTTTTATTTTTTCAACCACTTTATTAATAATTGTGTCAAACCAAAGTAGAACAAATAAAATGCAACGGAGGTAGTAGTACTCTTGAAGGCTGGCTTTATAAAGCACCAAGCTAAGTGTTTTTAAGTCTTAGACAGTGTGGTTTTGAGATGATTATATATAATGGTCCAATGTGCTGTGTTTGTAATCAGTCGTGGATGTAGAACCTTTACTGTGGTGTGGTTTAATCTGTTTAAGTGTGGTCTGGTTTGATCTTTTTACGTCTGATATGGGCTGAAATAATTCAAGTAAAAACAACCTAACCAACACTGCTGGCATATTGGTTGGTCATAAAATTACAGCTTATTACAACTCCTTAGGTTAGAAAATTATTCATCGTTTAACTGAAATACTCCGTAACAGATAAAGAACGAACTTCAACAACACCCTCTAAGCTTGATCTATTCACTGTTGATAAGATATTAAAGATATGTAGGAACAAACAAAACAAGATGCGATGAAATAAGAAGACAGTTAGTAATAATCGACTAACCTCGGGATACTACACGAACGGCGTGGTGTAGACTGCGTCCGCTAAGGGCGAGAGGAGCTGGAAACGGAGAGCAAATACGACCCGTCTGGCTGAGAGATGAGCGGTAGAAAGAAGGGACCCTAGAAAGAAATGGTAGATCGGAATATCGGATGCATTGGAACACAATCGGCATGTAATTAGACCGGATCAAACACTGGGGTTTGGGCCAAAAACTTTAATTAAAATCATTTAATTTGACAGATTTTAAATTATACTTCTCGTCCCCTAAAAAATGTCTACTTTTTCTTTTTTAATTGTACAACTAATTTTGTTATTTTCTCATTCATTTAAGAGAGATTTTCCAAAATAAGAGTAAGTAGAGTTTGAAATTTTAAAATAAAATTGTTATGTTTTTGTTATCAAAATAAGAGTAACATAATAGTATTTATTGTCATCTTGTAGACGTGACTGTCAAATAGTTGCATAATTATGCATTCAACATGTCAATATTTATTATGATTAATCGTAATATTTTTCAAACATGGCAATATTTTTTCATCATACAGTAACAACTTCTATTTCGGAATAAAAAACATAGTAGTCCTATTTGAAATTCAAAAAATTGTTTACTCCTATTTAGTATAATTTCCATTTAATTATAGAATTTGTGATTCATGTTAATTCTTTCTGCTTTGCACAAATTTCAATCACGCATTTCTTAGTTTATTATTTTTCGTGCTAGTAAAACTTGATCAAGTTTTAAGAGACGGAGGAGTATATTTTAGTAGCCCTTATTTGGTAACATTGAAAACGGTACGTTAAATGGGTTGAATCTATTAAAACTGATTAAATTCTAGTTGAACCGGCCGACTCACTAATGTGTTGATTTGCGGAATAATATATTTTGAATTTATTAATGATAAATAAACATAAAATCTTACGGAGAATAGTTTCAATGATCTTCTACGGTAATTTTAGCTAATTAAATCACAAAAGCAGCTAAAACTCACTTATATTGATTATTATACTCCCCCCATCCACAAAACTTGGTCAAACTTCTTCTTTTCTAATCGTCCCAAATAACATTTCCATTTAGAGTAAAAAAATATGGTTAAAGTAGTCTCTTTCCTGTACACAAATTTCAACCACATATTCTTTATTTTATTATTCTTTAATAAGATAGATAAGTTGCATCTGCCAAAAAAAAGATAGATAAGCTGAAAATATTAATTATCAACCGGGTTCTTAATAGCTTCATGCTGAAAAGTAAACATTAAAGTCAGTAATAAAATTTTAAAACTAATATGTAATAAATCTCATAAACTAATCTAAGATTTAACTTATGTGTAAAATTCACTCACATCAATAAGCGTTAAAATATTTAAAGAAACCTTACAAATTGATTTCGCCACAATTAATTACATAGTATTTTACATATACCATATTTATTAATCTTAAATTTTAGTGTTCATTATTGATATAGTATATGGTCCAGGACCACCGGTCTATATACTCATGCCACCTCAACAGACTCAACTACTTCTAACAGGCCGAACAAGCAACTGGACATCCCTCGGTCCCAAGACCAAGGGCTACAGACAATGACTTCTCGCATAGATGTCATCCTCCATATTCGATCCTGAAAATCCGTGTATGTGTATCAGCTCTCGGAATAGGCTTTCGGCCTCAAAGAGAACCCCTTGGCTTCGAGCCCGGGAGTATTTCGTGTCGGTAATTACATCACTTAACCACTGCATTTAATGCTCCGCTATGTGGCCACACTTGCCTCACATCGATGCTCTCTCTCATAGACTAGTTTTACACGTGTATGTGCATTTAGTGCACTTAGCATTTATGCCTGGTGTAAATTGTCGCCCCTTGGGGAAAGGTGTAACGGTTCGAAAATCATTAATACGATTGCTCTATCTCCCCCACTTGATATCTCTGTCTTCTCTCTCTATATACCGCTTGTGATATCCCGATTTAGCTATCTATCAATTATAACTATCACTTTCTTACACTAACTAGTGTTTATCAAATACATTATATCATAGGCATTTATTTATTTGAAACAAAACAGATCTCTAATTGAATCGAAAGCAAAGCACTCAGGGTTGGAAAAATGTTTAAAAAATTTGCTACTATGTGCACAATTGACAATGAATCTCCTATTTATCTAAAGCGCCTAAGGACGTTAGATGGTCGTTTTACCGTTGCTACAACTCCAAATATTCCACGCCGTTTTCCGTTCTCCTGCTATAAGTGAGCGACGATGCTTTTCTCAATTCATTTCAGAATTCATGCTTTTGCTCAGGGCTAAGGTTCCGAAGTTCGTGTACACAACCAGACCGTTTCACTTTCCGATGCGGCTAACCTCGGTTCGTCTGGAACCTTAAATGGATTCCCATTGGTGGCCTTCTCCATCGACGAGTTACAGCTCCTATCCCATCCCTTCCGGTATGCTCTTGTAGGTACATTCCCCTTCGGACCCCCCCCCCCATCACTGCAATTAGAAAAGCTTTTCTGGCTTTAGGGTTTTCTCAACCCTTTTCGGTCGGTTAGCTACACTCAAACATTATCCTTATTAATTTCAAAACGTATCTCGACTTCCATAGATTTTGGGAAAAAGGTTCCTGGTATTTTTTGGGGTTACAGATGGTTGTGACCCGATGGACATCGGCGTTCTCCGTTGAGCGTGACTGTCTAGATTTCCCTTGAGGGTCTTCCTATCCACCTCCATGATTTACGGGCTTTTAACTCTATCACTAAGCTGCTGGGGAAACCCATCCGAATAGACACCCCCATTGCTGGTGTGGGACTTAAGCACAAAACAAGATTTGGATGCCAATATTGGTGCCCCTGTTTTGGTGAAATAACTGTCCAGGCCCCTGTTGTGGCTAATCCAGTACTTACTGATAATAGCTAGGTTACCAAAGTTGTTGTGGATGAAATTACCAGTGCCGGGGATCCTCTTACTCCGGGTCCTACTCCCATTGGTATTCTGGAATTAGAATTTGCTGCCCTTCCGGTTGTTGCTAAGGATTTTATTGAGAATGTTAAAAATGATGCAAAACAGGTTAGCCATGGTGTTCTGGCTGTTATCACCTCTGATTGTGTTCCTTTTCATGATCAATCTGCAGTTTGTATTCCAACTGATAATCTCGTTCATAATACCATTAATGATTTGGTTGATATTACATTTTTTTGGATAAAATGTAAATATATATCCAGAAATTATTAATACAACGCATCAAAAAATATCACAAAAACTATCTAAGCTAGCTAGCTAACCTAATAGTATCCACCATTCCCTCCCACCTCCACCCAAAGGTTTGGGCAGGAGAGAGATTTTAGAAGGTCCATCAAAACATCAAAACTAGCGCGGAACAGGCCCCAACTTAGTGTCCAAAAAAATCCAAACTATGGCACGGGATAGTCCTCGGCTCATATATCAAAACAAATAAAATCAAAACTAGTTATGGGCTAATGAAGGCCCGTCCCTAGCAACATCCCAACCAAAATATCCAAGAATCCAGGTTTCAAGTCCAATGAAGGAGCCTCCACCCTTCCTCATCAGCAACCAAAATCAGAACATTTGGCCCAAACACACACGTGTATAATCAGAAACTAGGCTTCCAGGATCCAGGCCAATGAAACCCATCACCGAAGCTAGAGCCCACCAAACTCGCGCGGCCCAGCAGGCCATCCCCTAGGGTTTGCAGCCCAAGAGTGACTTCTGCCATCGCGTCAAGTCTGTGCCGCCCTCTTCCAAATTCAAAATCGTTGAGCAGCCACGTCAGCGACGCATCAACATCCGTCGTCCCCCCACCTCCGCCAGGCTCCAGCGTCATCCCAGCATCAACGGCGAGAAGGAAAAAACCATCCGGAGAGAAAGAACCTTGCCACACCGATACTTCACCTGCCACCCCCATCCCCGTTAGACCCCGGTGACCCCCAACGGCAACGATGAACAGCGTCAAACGGCGGTACAACAGTAGCCGGGAAAACATCAGCTTATGCAACAAACAAACCCAATGTAACCAACCAGCGAACCCACAGTAAAAGACACCATCCACAATCACAGCAGGCCAGCAGTTCAAACCAAACTTCAAGTCAAGAAACTCAAACCACGAACCAGACATCAGGGGTAAAAACAAAGCAAGTAGTTGGACAAGGAAAACCAAGCTGAGACTAAAATTCCAGGACACCAAACTCCGGCCTCCGGTGACTACGACTCCACCCCTAAGCCTTGGCCAAGCTTAGGGACTGTACCGCGTAGCTAAAAGTGGCAGCGCCATGAAAACTTGCACCGACAGCGCCATGGTTGATATTACATTACATGATGTAGATGTGACTGTTATTTCTGCCCCTGTTATTGATTGTTTAGAGGTACATGCATTCCCTGTTAGTGGTAATGCAATGGATGCTGAGGCCCCTAATGAAGCTTCTATCTTTGGTTCAATGGTTACAAATAATGACTTTGGTCCTATCTTCCTGGTAACAGACCATACCAATGCCCAAATTGATGATTTATTGATACTATTTTGTCTAGTACTCTTTGACTTCTAACTTTGACTTAACTCCAGCTGGAATTACGGATCCTGGTATTGTTATGGTGGTAATAGACAACAACGCGGTCCCTATTGATGCTACTCTATCTGTCCACATCGAGGCCCTTACTGATGATACTACCCATGTTGTGGTTATCCAGCATATTATGGCTATTGATGAAACCCCGATGGCCACCCTTCACGAGGCGGTAATCGAGGATGTTCACCAATCGGTCACCTATGATGCAAACAAAGTTTTATTAGAGGCCCAAAATGAAATGATGAGATCATCTTTGACCCAACGTTTGATTGTGTAGTTACTACACCTAACCCAGTCTTGTATGGTGATGAAAATATTTCTGAGGACATCCCAATGCTAAACTTTTCTGCTTTAGGTTATGCAGAGATCGATGATGAATACCTTGAAGGATTTACTCGGGTAAAAAGCAAAAGAAGCAAAGTAATAAAATAATAAAATACATTACAGAACACGAAAAAAATAGAGTACATAGTAATTTATTTAATTAAGTAAAGTATATTATAATTAAGTAAAGTAGACCACACTTTGTACTTGCCATGCATGACATTAATTTAATTATTATCTGATATGATTAAAGAACTTAAGAGCGTCTTTAAATTTATTTTGTAAATTGGTGTTGCAGATTAGTTTTACACCATATTCTTTGTCCTTTGTGTATAGAAGTTTTGATGATCAGTTGAAATTGCATTTTATAGGGTGATGGCTGGAAAGTAGTTGCAAATTTTGAGGGAAACTTCCCCAATAGGATTAAACAAATTCCATTTGATAGACAATTTGATATAAACAACATCAAGAGGGTGTGTTTCTATCGCATTCTAAAAATAAATTGTTTGGAATTCAATGTTCCTTCTCTCTGGTGGGTTATGTGACTGGTTTACTCATTACCAGATTGTATTAGAAGTTGATGGTTATAAACCTTACCTCATTTCCCCTGAAAAAGGTTAAGATCTTTAATAAAAGGCGTCCTAGAGCTCGCAAAAGAGCCTTCTCGTCTTTGCGTAGATGAGGTAAATGATCTTTCTGCACGAATGTTGGCGTTGCTATTTTAATTTATACATGTTAAGCCCATACTTATAATTTGAGAGCTTGAACACTTTTATATATTTGACGTGGCTAGAGTTGGTAGAATGACATTGATATTTGAAATAGTTTTAGATTCATAACTCTTCATTTTACAATAAGTGGTAAAAAAATACAATAAGTGGTAAGACTTGCTTTTCAATGAATCCCCTGGTTGTTGAGATCCTTATTCTTCTTTTATTTTATTTTTCATTCAATTGTGTATCTTATTGTTAAATTCACTGTTGCTCCATTTAGATAATATAAAAAGTAAAAAAACAGAAACATTGAAACATTTGGAAGTGACTGTTCGTGATTTGTTCTTAGTGAGTGTTTGTTTGATTATTTTCTGGGTGTCGATTGAGGGTAATAAAACATGTAAGATCAATTGATTTGGTTTGTTGTTTTTTTCAATGATTGATTTTTGTTGCTATAAAACACGTAATAAAACATGATTGACTGATTTAGCAGAATGAGTGAAATAATGGTGCAATTTGACATTCTTGATTCATTTTTTTTTTTGCAACTTAATGTATTTAGATGTTGGAACCAAGAAAACCTATAAAGCCAAATTCTGGAGGCCCGCTATTGTCCCCTGTGTAATTTGTCCAGCTTGGCATATCCTTGAATATATACCATGGAGAGATTATGCTTGGAAAGTAGTAACCAAGTAACCAACTAACCATCAATTTATAACAATAGATCAAACCAACCATATCTATAATGGAAAAGAGTTCCTCATCCATCTTGTTGATTGTTGGTCCCGTTTACACAAGGAACAGTCTAGAGGGGGGTGAATAGACTGTTCAAGTTTCAAACTTTTCTCTAAGTCTTAACAGACTTGACAGAGAGGGTCGAGTTCTGGTGGCAGAACTGGACCTGGCAGCGGATGAGTTCTGGTCGGGTAGCCTTCAGAAACACACTAAGGCTATGTTTGGCTAGCCATTTCAGCTCAAAATGGGCTGAATTATTCTAAATTCAGCTAATTATTATCTAACTAATCATGTTCGGCAAAGGGGCTTAAAAGGGCTGGATCTAAAATAATGGAGCTGAAGCAGAACGCTACCCAAGCCAACGTTTTCGTTCAGCCTGTTATATAATTTACTTTCGTTCCCAGATTATCCCCGCTCCTGTAGTCCGGTGAGCCCCGTCTTTCTTTTCTCCTCAGCCGATCGTCGCTTTCTCTCGCAAATCACCTGCCTTTCTCAGTGCATGTATTCTTTACAGAGAGAGGGAGAAGACGGTGGATGATGGACTCATGGTTTGATTCCGTGTGAGCTAGGGAATCAGATGAAGAGACCTGCCACGACTGACCATGCACCTTGCGATCTTATCAATTTCTCTCATCTTCTTCCCCAATTTTCCATTTTTTACTGCTTTTGATGTGTCTTACTTCTACTCCGTTGCTTGGATGACAAATGATTTGAAGCATGATTCATTGTTTCGTTGAATCATTTTTCTTATTTTTACTTTTATGTTTTAGAAAAAAACTTAACTCTTAATATTTACTCCTGATAAAGTATTACGTATAAAAATATTTAATATCATAAATCATTATAAGACATATTTTATTCTCTTAATGAAATATACTATCATGCCCTTTAGTGTAATTTCATATTATTCGGATACTTTTTCAGTTCTTTTTGCCAAACGGGTCTACTTTATTCAGTTAGCCATTCAGATTCAGCATTTCAAAGTTCAGCTCCAGACAATAATCTTTAATTCAGACAATAGCCTCTATTTCAGACATTAGTCTCCAGTTTCAGCTCGTTCTGCCAAACATAGCCTAAGGCAAATGCCTTTCTGATAACTCTTAAGACAAGATCTGTTGAACACAAAGTCCAAGTCTTTAAGAGTTAATCAGTTGAATCTTAATGCAGGAAAGTAAAATGCGTAAAGTAAGTGACATCGGAGATTTTTATAGTGGTTCAAGGAACAACGCGTTCCTCTAGTCCACTGTTCAACTAAGCTTGTAAAAACGATGATTACAACACTTAGAGCTAGCACTTAAGAAGCTCTCCACGTCTTCTTCAAGTCCAGCTATCACCCGGGAGGCTCTTCCTAGCTTCTTGATGACTGGTCTCATTTCACTGAGTCTCCTTGAAGTATCACCACTTCACTACTCTAGTTACTTTGAGATGTCCTTTCTTTTGCAAGAAGTGTTTCAGTTAAGAAAGGTTTGTCCAACGTAGCTTCGTCACAAGAGATGTGTAGATGAGGCTCTGGAAGTGTTGAAGAACTGGAGGAATGATTCTCTCACGTTGGAAAGAAGAGATATGGAGTTTATAATCTTTTCCAACGTAAAGTTTTTCTTGTTGAGATGTTGAAGATGTAGTCTAAAGAGTTTGAATATTTTGCTTGTAAGAGAGTTGTGAATCGTTAGGGATCCTGTTCTTCGAAGAGTATCTTATATACTGAGAGATGCCTTCATGTTGGAGTGTAGAGGACATCTTCATTAAATGCATGTACAGTTGACTTGACTGTTTGATCCTCAAAAAGTAGGTGGCTTGCTATTTTGGGGGTGCGAAGATCTTCGCCTGGTCAATCATCAGCTTAAAATATCTCAACGTGTGAAGCTCATTAAATGAGCATTAAATGCGTGAACAGTAGCAACTCTCGTTGAGAGGCTCCTAGCCGTTAAGGAATATCCCGTTAGTTTAACAACTATTTAAAATGCCTTTGAATGTTTCTAAGTGTGACCGAATCTGATGAGGTTCTCTGATAGCAACTCTGATGGCCGACTCTGGTGGCAACTCTGGTGACCAGCTCTGGTAGCAACTCTGATCAAGAGATCCAAGAGAGTTTCTGGCCTATCGACTATGCTATAACATACATAAAGAAAAATTCTAATACAAGATTTCTAAAGGGGTACTCTAATATCCTACAAGATTGAGCAAAGACTTCGAAGAACTGTGAAGATTTCAGAGAATCAATTCGGTTTTATGCTTGGGCGCTCAACAATTGAGGCCATTCACCTTCTTCGGCAACTTATGGAGAAGTATAGAGACGCTTATAAGGATCTACATTTGGTATTCATTGACTTAGAAAAGGCATGTGATAGGGTACCTCGAGAAGTTCTTTGGTGGACCTTAACTAGAAAAGGCATATCACGCAAGTATATCAGTATCATCATGGATATGTTTGAGGATTGTACTACAAGTGTCCGTACTAGTGTAGGGAGGACTGAAGAGTTCCCTATTACTATCGGAGTGCACTAAGGATCGGCTCTGAGCCCTTTCTTATTTGCCATAGTCATGGATGAACTTACAAAGTCAATTCAAGACGATATACCGTGGTGCATGATGTTTACCGATGACATTGTATTGATTGATGAGACGCAATCAGGTCTTAAAGCAATGTTGGAAGTATGGCGACAAATATTGGAGAATAAGGGTTTCAAACTAAGTCGGAGCAAGACAGAATACATGGAGTGCAAGTTTGGTGGAGGTAGAAGCAGTGGTAATAGCGGAATTACTCTGGATGGTAAGGAGATACTAGTCGGCGCTATGTTCCGTTACTTGGGCTCCATAATTCAGAAGGACGATGAGTTAGATGGAGATGTATCTCATAGAATCAGAATAGGGTGGATGAAGTGGAAGAGTGTGTCAGGATTTTTATGCGATCGAGGTATGCCGACTAGACTGAATGGTAAACTTTATAGGACGACAATTAGGCCTGCATTACTGTATGGCGTAGAGTGTTGGACGGTGAAACAATGTTATATTCAAAAGATGAGTGTGACAGAGATGCGCATGCTGCGTTGGATGTGTGGGCATACTAGGAAGGACCACGTGAGGAATGAGACAATCAGACAAAGAGTGGGAGTAGCACCTATTGAAGACAAGATGTGGTAGTCGCGCCTACGGTGGTTTGGTCATGTGCGTAGAAGACCGAGTGATGCACCTGTCAGACGAGTTGAGATGTGTGGAGAAGAGACAGGGAAGAGAGGGGGAGGAAGACCCAAACAGACGTGAGTTATGGGAGTTCAAAGTGATATGCTTCTTCTGGGGTTGGATGAGAGCATGACTTTGGAGAGAGCTAAGTGGAGGGCGGGTATTCATGAGGAGGAGTGATCTCGTATCATCTTTTCCCCTCATCTTTTTTTCTTTGTTTTTTTATCCTTATGTATAAGCATTATTTGTATCCTTTTTATTTTATCTTTTTATGTATATTCATCTCTTTTTATATTATCTTTTTATAATAGCTTATCTTTTTTATCTTTATTTTCTTTCTTTTTCTTTTGGTGGTGATATCATGTATCGATTCATGTTAGCCGACCTCAATATCTTTTGGGACTAAGGCTTGGATGTTGTTGTTGTATTGATGAAATAGTCCATTTCCAAATTGCCAATAGTCATGTATTATACAACACATGCAAACAGATATAGTTAAAACATTTAGTACAAATACTCATTTGAACTCCTTAAGACCATACACAGGGAGCTGAGTTTATTACCAAACTTGATATCATTCATTATTCAACC